CCCCCGGTGTCCCCCCGTTATCCCGGTTATCCCCCGTGTCCCCCCGTGTCCCCCGGTATCCCCGTTATCCCCGTTATCCCGGTTATCCCCCCGTTATCCCCGTTATCCCCCCGTTATCCCCCCGTTATCCCCGCACTCACGTTCCCCTCCACGTGCGAGGCCAGGCTGCTCCCGTAGGCCGCGGCCAGCGAGCTGACGGGCTCGGCCAGGAAGGCCGCGGGCTGCCCGAACGCGCCCGCCGCCGCCGAGCCCGCGGCGCCCGGCGAGGCCGAGGGCGGCGGCGGAGCCCCGAACCCGCGGCCCGGCGAGGCCCCGCCGGCGCTCGTGTCCTCGAACAGCGGCCGCGGATCGGCCAGCCGAGCGGGCCCGCGCCGTTTCGGGGCTAAAAAGGAAAGGAAAGGCGAATTTCGGGGAGTTTTAAACCCGAATTTCCCTCCCGGCGCCGCCCGGGACTCACGGGGAGCGGCGGGATCCATGGCGGCGGCGCTTCCGGGTTCGGCGGCACCGGGAGTCACGTGGGGGAAGCGGGAGGTTATGATTGGTGGAGAGGGCGGAAGTTGTGCCCGGAGTTAAGATGGGGGCTGCGCCAACAGTTTAAAGATGGCGGCCGCGGCGTTCTGGCTGTTGGCATGGCAACGGGGTTCCAGCAAGCTCGTGACTGCTCTCAGTGTCCCCGGAATGTCCCCAGAGGTGTCCCCAACGCTGCTGGAGCCGCGAGACAGCCACGGGCTCCGGTAGAGTCCATAACGGCGGCACTTCCGCGTTCGGCTACCGGTAGTCACGTGGCGCAGGCGGGAGATTGTGATTGGCTGAGAGAGCGGAAGCGGTTGGCAGGAAAGGGAACTCGTGCCCGGAGTTAAGATGGCGGCCGCGCCGCGCCGGGGTTGCCATGGTAACGGGGGGTGCGTTTGGACCCGGTGCCCGCCCGAGATGTCCCCCAGCACCGGGGTGTCCCCAGGGTGTCCCCAGGGATGTCCCCACGGTGTCCCCATGGCCACGGTGTCCCCACGGTGTCACCAGGGGTGTCCCCAGGGTGTCCCCATGGCCACGGTGTCCCCACGGTGTCACCAGGGGTGTCCCCAAGTCTGTGATGTCCCCGATGTGTCCCCAGGGCCGTGATGTCCCCACGATGTCCCCACGATGTCCCCACGATGTCCCCACGATGTCCCCAGCCCCTCCATGTTCCTCCCTCATGTCCGGTGTCTGGCCGTGCCCATCTGTGTCCATCCATGTCCAGTGTGTGTCCATGTCTGTCCGGCTGTGTCCAGTGTCCATCCATGTCCGTCTCCATCTGTGTCCATCCCTGTCCATCCCTGTCCATCCCTGTCCATCCCTGTCCATCCGTGTCCGGTGTCCATCCCTGTCCATCCCTGTCCATCCCTGTCCATCCCCGTCCATCCGTGTCCGGCCGTTCCGGCCCCGGGGCGGCTCCGGCCTCGGGACGCTCCCGTGGGAGCCTCGTGATGGCCCCGTGACCCCGGGGGGAGGGGAGGGCACCGGTGCGCCCAGGACGGACCAGTTAACCCAGTATAGACCAGTTAACCCAGCTCACCCAGTT